ATGCGAAATATCAAGAAGAACTGAATAACTCCCTGAGATGCCCAAGTCATCACCTTAAATGCATCTCTGGCTAAAGACAGAAGGAATGGTGAGGGGGCACCTACGAGAGGTTAACAGGAAAAGCAGCTTCAACTACAGCAGGGTTGGGTGTGTAATGCAGATTTCATCCTTCTTAAGACTGTCCTTCAACAGGACTCTGCTGTGATTGAGAGCCATCCTTCTTTTTCTGGTAAAGAGACAGAGACACCTTTACAAATTGAGACTTCCTTTATCAGTGTAAATGTCCCTCAGAAGAATAACTTCTATTCTGTCTTCAGAGTTTCTCCTGTGTCTACCTCTCAAAAACAGAATCAACTCGTAACAATCTTTCTGCCAGAGAGCCCTATTCTGGAGTGACACATTGTGTTACCTTTCATTCTATTTTTGTATTTTTGAAATATTCTTAAAAATCTACAGGAAATTAAAAACAATACAAAAAAAACACTACAGAAAGCAATTGACAGAGGGGCCAGAGCTGTTGCTAGAAAAACAGCTCCTCTTGGCTCTGAGCCTCAGTGGAGGCTATGGGAGGAGAGGACAGAACACAGAGAACACGGGTCTAGGAGTCAGAGCACTGCGCTTCAGAAACCAGGTCGGCCACCTGCAAGTCACATGACCCTAAGCCCATCATGTGCCCTCCTGGGCTTCTGGGTCTTTATCTGTGAAAATACCCTCCTTGCCTCCCTTGGAGGAACCCTGGGACAACTAAACGAGCTACAACAGCTCAGACTGCTCTGAAACCACCATAAAAACAAGGGTTTTTCATCACTTTTATTATTAGAAGTCCTGGTAAGAGATTTACTCTATTCTTAATGGCAGAGGCTAGTTTCACAAAGGGCTTGGAAAATTCATTGCTGCTCACAGGCCATCATAATGGAATAAGAACTCTTGAGAAAAGTCATGTGTAAAGCTAAATTTTCTGGAATGTAATTAAAGTTTCACTTCTAAGCAGATAGCTAACATTTTTAACCATTATGAATGCAATCTTTTAAAAACAGTCTCTACTTCCCTGACTACATAAAGAAAATGGATTGAGGGGGGTGGAGGAAACAAGTAAAATAGGTAAGGGAATTTAAGAGGTACAAACTCCAAATTATAAGATAAGTAAAAGGGGATCAGGGGCAAAAAATAGACATATAAAATTTTAAAAAATAAATAAATCACAGGATTATAATATACAACATAGGAAATATATTCAATAATATTGAAGTAACTTTGCATGGTGACAGTTGGTAACTAAACTTATCATGTACTGTATAAAATATTAAATCACTAATGATGTATACCAGAAACTAATATAACTTTGTAAGCCAATCATACTTCAATTTAAAAACTTCTTTTAATTTTACATTAAAAACTTCCATACACTTAGAAAAAGAAAAGAAGATGGATATAAAACCCTCATTTATAACTCAAGGTCATCACTGTGGATATTACTAACACCTAATGGCTAATACTATGCTCTCAAGACCTAGCAGGGCGCACACAGCAGGTCTGCTCTGCAGGTCCCTCACTGCTTGGCTCAGTGCCCCCTCCTCCTCTCGCTTGCTGTGTGGTCCTCAGTGGTTGCTCTCAGCCCACAGTATCTCTGCCACCAGCAGCCACTCCTCAGCCTCCTGGGTTGAGCAAAGTGAGGGACACATGGCAGAAAGGGTTGGGAAATAAAGGCAAAGCCCACTCAGCTCCTGGGGAACCAGCCCTGAGTCCAGGCACAGAGCTCACTGTGGGACGCAGAGGATTCTGTTTCCTTCCTGCCCATCAGCTGAGCTCCAAAGGGAAGGTTTACACACACATGGGCTTCCCACAGCCTCCACCTGGACCAGAGACCACAAGCAAAAGTGGATTCAGACAAAGGCCAAGTGACCGAACAAGGCTGGGCCACTTCTAAGGGTCCTGGGAAAAGGACATAACTCCTGGAAACACCTCCCCTCTCAGGGGAAGGGACTGGGTGAACCCACTCTGGCTCTCTGAGGTCACCCCACATACACACCAGCAATGGTGACCTCACCTCTCAGAGAGAAGCCCTGATGACCTGGGGAGGTGGTCTCTGTGACTCAGGCCCAGGCAGAGGTTTCAGGCTCCTCCTCTCCACCCTGAGGGCCCTGGGCAGGCAGAGACCTGTCCTCCCCACCCGCAGGACCCGTGGAGGTGCACACAGGGGCCAGGTGTGCTGGGAACTCTCCAGCTGCTCTGTTCTAATTAGAGGTGACTGGCAAGTGCTCCGTAGCCTGGTACTTGTTTCTCTGAGAGGTAGAGATACTCCTCAGTTCTCACAGGACAGCCCATGGAATTCTCCAGGCCAGAATACTGGAGTGGGTAGCCTTTCCCTTGTCCAGGGGATCTTCCCAACCCATGGATTGAATCCAGGTCTCCCTCATTGCAGGCAGATTCCTTACCAGCTGAGCTATCAGGCAAGCCCTTCTCATAGGACAGAGGTTTTCATATCTCAAAATCCTAAAACCCTAAAAGCCTCACCCTGGACTGATGTCCCCATGCTTTTCCCCGCTGGTGCCACCAGGAGTACCTGGGAGGCCCCGCTCGTGCTGTGGGTGGTAAGAGCACACTGCTTGGGATCATGGAGGATGCACAGGGCGTTCTGTGCACCTGAGGGATTATAAGAGGGCCGGAGATGAAAAGGAAACATATTTGTGTTTTAGAAAATCCTCGGCTGAGTTTAGATCTTCCACCATCTAAAATACAAAGAACAACAATCACTATAGATTGATCACAACACGGGAAGTTGCTTCATAAAATCAATTATTTAACTAACTAGCACTGCTATGAGTACTAGTGGTACTACCACACAGATGAGCCCCTACATTTACGTCCTCTACTCCCCCCTTCTCCGCCATGACCACCCAGTGACCAACCTCCAGAAAGGGCCCAGGGATCTACCAGTTGCAACTTACGCAGCTCCAGACCTGGCCTTCCTGGATCTACAGCAGGAAGTATTACTGGGGCTGGAAAACTTTGAAATCAATACTCCCAGCACCACTGTGGGGAGGATTCTGTCTCAGGAAGAACCCCAGATCCTGTGGCCTCTCCCTCTGTGTCTGCTTCTCCCATGAGCTGCCACAGCCAAGACCCAGGACTCATATTAGAATGGGATCCATCCAAGGCTTAGTGACCCCACTCAAGGGGCTAACAGCCCAGGACAGCAAGAAAAACCAGCAGCTCAGTTCAAACCCAGCCACATAGGCTATGCTTTGAGACCCACTTGACTTTAAGGCTCTTTAGCATCTGGTACCAAAGGGAAACTAGAGAACCAGGGACAGTAGAGAAAGACCTGCTCCTGATATGATCCAACATTAAGCCCTGAGGCCACTCATCCAACCAGGCACCTAGGATGAGTCACAGGCACACACCAAGGCCGCAGGGTTTCCTGATAAGCAGGATTTATGAGAGCTCTGCTGGGTGAGGTCAGGAAATCCTGCACAAACTGGCCACAGCAGCTTGCCACCTGTGTATTTCATACAGAGACTAACTGACTATGTGGAAATACCATCACTGGGACAGCTGCACACGGGACAAAGAAGGGCTGGGACAGCCTGAAGAGCTCCTGCTCCCTCTCCCACCCCCTGCCCTTCACAAGGCACTGAAGCATCTAGGTGGTCAGAGCCCTGTCTAACGTGGCACTCTGCCCCATATACCTGTCCCACCCTCTGGCACAATGGCCAATCCTCTTCTGACATCAGTGAGAACTCCATCCCCCAGGACCACCCAGTCCCCTGGGAGCTGACAGATTTCCCCATTCAGTCACCTGTGCGCTGACAGATTCTCTGTCTCTCCAGTTGTGTGGGGCAGACCACCTTCCCAGCTGCACCCGCAGGTACCCTTCAGTACAACACAGCCTTTAAACAAGAGTCACCTTGTAAACCACCTGTAAACCACCTGGCTCACCCACCTCACTCCAGCACAATGGACTGAGGACAACTCACCACCTTCTCCACCTAAAACACCCCTTTCACAGCAGCTGCATCTTCCATCCCTCCTGCTCTCACACACTCACAGCCCGCCCGTGTCCCTAAGGCAGCACTGAGGGACCACGGAGAGCACGAGCCACCCAGGGCGGTCTGCAGCAGACCCCCAGCAGGCTCAGCCAGAACAGGGGGCTGCCGGCACTGTGTCCCCAGGGGGACTGTCTCACTGCGGGGTCTTGACATGGGCCCTTCAGGGTCACGGAGGTCACTGACCTCACAGCTTTCTGTCTCTGGTTTGCCCTGCACATCCCCTCCTACACCCTCTGCCAATGCCAGGCTCCCAGGATCCCCCTTCAACCAGGAATCCACCCCCACAGCCAGATCGGAAACCAGCGTGGAGGGTGCAGAGAATTCATGGTGAAGCTGGAGCTCCTCCCCTCGGGGGCTTTGACTCACAGTGCCAGCCCATGGGGAAGGGGGCAGCCTGGGGAAAGGTGTGCTCTTAGGAGTTCTGGGCGGCTACAGCCCAGATGCAGGGCCCTGGGTTCTGTTCCCCTGCAAGAGGCGAGGCGATGGTATCTTCTTAGAAAAGCATTTATCAGATGTGACCTGGTCAAGGTAACAATGTTTACCTTGTTAAATTATAACAAAAGTGCCATAAAATGTATGTTATTCTGGGCTCTTGTCCAAATTACCTTCCTCTAAATCACAAGGCACATATTGCCTGAGGCTGCTGGAATCTTCTGGTCAAAGATCAGTCAGCATTTATACTGAGCACCAGGAGCTTTCTAACATAAAATGTCTTTTATTTCAAGGCCATCCTTCCACAACACTCTTTAATCAGTTAAAAGAAAAACAATAACCCCTGGTTGTCCAGTCCTTGCCATTCTAAAGATAAATACAACTTCTGAGCTCTATCATGTTTCCGTGAGGGTTTGTCCTCAGACCTTAGACTACTGGCCTCTCTCCCCACCCATCCCGTCCACCTCAGTACTGAGATACATACACCAAAAAGCAATGCACAGTATAAGAATCTTTTACCTCAAGAAACGTAAACAATCCCCAAATTAAATAGGATTTCCAGTAACACTTTATGATTGCTTTCATTAAGGAAGGCTCCCCTGTGTCCTTCTGGGCTCTCTTAACTTCCTGATCCCAGTACCTGCGACAAGAAACAGAGCACAGTGAAGAACAGCGTGTCCACCACAGGGAAACGGGGGAGGGGTGGAGTGGGAGATGGGCCTTCATTACAGGGCGCTCTGTGGGACCCCATAGATGCTGGCGAACTGCTCACAGGGCTCCTGAAAGATGAACGGTGCAGACTCTGAAGCACCAGAGAAACAGGCCTGGAGGGAAAAGTCCCAGATTCTGGAAACAATTTCCTGCCGAGATTTGCTAGACTCACAGGTCATGAGCAGCTCAGGAGGGCAGACATCGTCCTCCAGGGACAGAGCTCAGCCTCCAGGGTCCCTCCACATCCACAGACGCACAGGGAACACAGACTTCTCCAGCCTCCAAAGTGGGCTGAGCCTGGGGTCAGCCTGAGGTGGGTGAGCATTCAGTGTCAAGGGAGGAGACTCAGAAGAACCCAGAGGAAGACAAAGCCTCCCCCACACCTTTAGCCCCACGTGGAAATTCTCACTCTTTCTCCCTTTCTCCCTGCTGCCTGTGCTCACCCTCGCAGCTCTTCTCCAAGGCGCTGGGAGCGATCTTCCGGAAGCACCGAGTACATGTCATCTTCTTCTAATCTCCGTTTGTGACCAATTTTAAACAAGGGGTTTAGCCACCTGTTAAACATTAAAAGGAGAGTAACATACATCCAAACTACACATCTCTAATTAGAAACCTACACTCATGGACATTGTTTAAAAAAAAGTCTACATTTTAAAGGTATAAAGATACAGGGGAGGGGGGGAATTAGACATGTGTTTACAAACACACATACATTCTAGGAGGTATAGGAAAGTCATGCTGGCTTATACATGATTTAAATTAATTAAAGCAGCCTGTTTGTGGCCTACTGAACATACATTGTACATCTGCTTTAATTATTAAGGAAAAAATATATCTGGAAATGAAAATAAAGTAACAGTGTTTCTGGAAAGCAGAATAGAGCTGAATGGCCATTGTGGGTAAGGCTGCAGATATGTTCCTGTATTACTGAGGGCTTAAATCTTCTGAACTGTATCAGATTCAAGGATACCTAGGTAGCGCTAGTGGTAAAGAACCCGTCTGCTAACGCAGGAGATGTAAGAGATGCTGATTTGATCCCTAGGTTGGGAAGATCCCCCGGAGAAGGAAATGAAAACCCTCTCCAGTATTCATGCCTGGAAAAATCCCATGGACGGGGGAGTCTGGTGGGCTACAGTGCATGGGGTTGCAAAGAGTTGGATATGACTAAAGTATCTGAGCACCAGTCATATTCAAAGCAGTTTCAACCCTGAGGTCAAGATCTCTTTAGATCAGCTGTCAACACAGAGGGATTTTTACAGGGAATTATCTTATGGACACAACACCCTGAGTCTAACAGGCTCTGAACCCTGACCTCCTTACAGTCTTTTCAGACTCCCCTCAGCCAGAACACTCATGAGAGCCTCTTTCTGACCCCAACCTTCTGAAGACAACCTCAAGATAAGTAACACCTTCCCAACTAAAATGCACAGTTGATTCTTCTTATGGTCCTCCTTGGTATCACTGCCCGGCAGATTCATTTATTTTAAAAAGTAACATTCAAACATCCAAAAGGGCTGTAGTTTTACTGACTGTTGGATCTGTCACCATCAGCCTCAGTTGGGGAATAAATACAGCCTGCCAGACTTTCAGGGAACTCCACTAACAACTGACAACATCACCAAACTAGGTTTAATTCCTCCACACCCAGGCTTCTGCCCGGGGATATCAAGGTTGCCCCCACTGCCACCACACCCCTGTAAAGGCGTATGTGTTAGTCAAATCCCTGTTTCCTGGGGGTCCAACCAACTGTTCACTTTGAGCCCTCCACCTACAGGCATGGCCGACTGTAGATAATTACCATGCTTAACAGCTGTGGGAACAGGATCATACCAAACACGGAGGGGTCTGGCCATGCAGCAAGTATGGATGGACGGGCGCCACCATGAGCCTAATTGTGACTCAGGAAAACCCAAAGACAGTGTGTGCACCCCTGCAAGATGTTTATTCCTCGAGGACCCTATGGCAAGGGCCACCCATGTTGGGCCATCAACTGTCTCCAAGAAAACTACCAGGGGACACTGGGCTATAGGTTCACACCCAGGTCACGGTTACATTCGGATTTTAATTACATGCACACAACCTGTGAATCAAAGGGGGCCATTCATCTAGTCAGGAGGGGAGCTGGGCTGGTAATAGCAGTTGTCACTCTTATAGGATCCCTGGTGAGCCTAGCACAAGAAACAATTTATAATAATCTAAGTATAAAAAAAGTCAGTCAGAGACTGGCTTGGGTAAGAAGAGAAACCAGTTCTAACCTTAGAATGATAAAATCTTACTGGACCCTCTGGCCCACATGACACTTGACCACTACAAAGCTTTTGATTACCTGCTGGCTGATCAAGGGGGGATTTGTGCCCCAGCAACAATTTCCTGTTGTTTCTATGTTAACACATGTGGTCATAAAGAAGAGAGTGTATCCCAACTGCCAGAGAAAGCCACTTGCAGACAAAGACAAATATCATATGGTATCACCTATACATGGAATCTTTAAAAAACAGTATAAATGAACTTACCTACCAAACAGAAATAGAGTTACAGATGTAGAAAATGAACTTATGGTTACCAGAGGGTAAGGGAAGAAGGGACAATTGGGAGACTGGGACTGGCATATATAGACTACTGTATTCCTGTCCAGCTCTTTGTGACCCCACAAACTGTAGCCCACTAAGCTCCTCTGTCCATGGGATTCCCCAGGCAAGAATACCAGAGTGGGTTGCCATTTCCTTCTCCAGGGGATCTTCCCAACCCACAGACCTAACCCAGGTCTCCTGCATTGCAGCTGGATTCTCTACTGTCTGAGTCACCAGGGAAGCATATATAAAACAGGTAAGTAATAAGAACCTACTGCACAGCAGAGGGAACTCTACTCAATACTCTGTAATAGCCGTTATTTTTCTTTTTAAAAGAAAAAAATCTTTTTAGAAAAGTGGATATATGTATAATCGACTTTGCTGCACTCCTAAAACTAACACAACATTGTAAATCAGCTATACTCCAATAAAAAAATAAAAATTTAATAGAGAGGCCACTTGGCTAAATACTCAGAACAAGAATAGCATGACGGAACAAATTTGTGACAGTTTCAAAAGAAGGATTCCCAGCTTTCTTGGGCTTCTAAGGCCATTCTTAGAACCCCTACAGTTACTCTCCTTCTCTTGCTCTTTGCTCCATGATTCCTCAGTTGTCTCACTAGTTTTATCTCTTGGAGAACTGAGACAATTAAGTTGCAGATGGTCTTTACCCAGGGCTATGGGAAACTGGGACTCTAGCTTGGTAACAATCAGATTCATTTTGGTTGAATCAGGAAAAATTCTGCCCCTCTAACCCAACATATGACAACGCCCATGCTCAGCAGGAAGCGGCACCAAAAGACCAACCTTTGCCCTTTAGAATCCACCAGGAACAAGGAGCAGTAAAAAGGAAAGGCTGTTGCCCCAAAATTATATCCCTGCCCCTTTCTCAAATGGAAACCAGTTGCTCTTATCTGAGTTTCAGACTCAACAATAAAAGGAAAGAGAAAAATGAGAACTGATTAGAACTAGCCAGGACCCAAATGGCAGAAGACCTAACCTCCAGTAGACACAGAGCATCATCACTCACTCACTGTAATATATTAGCTGCTAAATGACACACCCTCCAGGACCACTACAGTTGACAATGGCTATGACAACAAAGTGAAGAGCTCATACAAGGGCTACAAAGGAGTGTTGTCTTAATTTCAGGTCCAAATCACACCCTGTTCTTGCATAAGCCATGAATATTCCTCCCTCTCTTAACCTGATTCCCTGCCACTTACTTCAACCCTCCTATACACATAGTGTCTCAGCCCAAATTGGGCTGAAAGGTTGATTTGCAAACTAAGTCTCCATTTCTCCATTCTTTGGTCATTGAGCAAAGATGCTTTACCAGTCTCACCATCAATTTTACTTATTGGTTGTGGGAATCTGAGTGGAGAAAAGAACCTCCACAGTCATGATAAGAGGTCTCAATCTGGGCTAGGATCCTGGCACAAGTCCAGGCAGCCAATTCCATGACAAGCACAGCAGTTACATACACAAGAAACATAGACTCCAGAACCAGACTGCCTGGCTTGAGATCCCACTCCACCGCTTACTAGCTGTGTGATGGTAGGCAACTTACTCAACCTCTATGCTTCAGTGTCTCCAGGTGTGAAATAAGAGGCTCCATCATCTCCAGCAGGAAAACTGGAAATGGGTGCCAACCAAAATCAAAGTCTTCACCTTCCGTTTCTACCCACATACATTTTCAAAATCAACAAACAGAATGTGCTTTGAGAGTTTCTTGCCCTACCTGAAGTTAAGGAGACATTTGTCTATTTTGCTATTATTTATGGTAACTACACACATATTCTGGAGAAGGAAATGGCAACCCACTCCAGTATTCTTGCCTAGAGAATCTCGTGGACAGAGGAGACTGGTGGGCTGCTGTCCATAGGGTCGCACAGAGTCAGACATGACTGAAGTGAATAAGCATGCACGCATGCATTGGAGAAGGAAATGGCAACCCACTCCAGTATTCTTGCCTGGAGAATTCCAGGGACGGAGAAGCCTGGTGGGTAGCCATCTATGGGGTCGCACAGTGTCAGACACGACTGAAGTGACTTAGCAGCAGCAGCAGCAGCAAGCACACACATATTCCTTCTTCTAGGACCCTCTTTCCTTAAGGGCCATCAAATAGCCAAGAGATGTAGCCACATACACTGAATATACCACAAACAAAACAAGCATAGGAGCTGCCATCACCCTGGGGATCCCCTAGGCTGCCCCATAAGAGAAGTATCAGAATTTGTGGGAATGATGAATGGGTTAGGGTCAAGAAACAAAAGACCTAATAATCACCCAAATGTGATTAAAGTCCAAAGTTTCAGGCCTGCCTTTCTGCAGTCCCAACTATTAGATGAAGACTTCATTTAAGAGCTTCAGCTCTCTGCAGCGTTTTCCATCTGTGTGTTTCCTCCCAGCTCAGGGACCCTTCAGTGGTTTCAGGACAATAGGACTTCTGGGCAGGACCACCTACATCAAGACCATGCACTCCTTCTCCAAGCTAAAGATCTGCATAAGACCCCACAGGTTTCAGGGACCCCATCCCCAGGGTTTGGTCCTCAAAGGTGGAAGTGGAGATATTTGCAATAGGGAAAGGGACTGTGGTCAAATAGACACTCTGCTCCTGGCTGTGTGTCCCAGGAAAAAGCAAAAGGTTTTCCAGAATGGTGTTCCCATCCATTTCATAAAAAACAATTGCGTTTTGTACACACATGAAATTGACCACACAGGGAGGGTGGCAGGGAGAGAAAGAAAGACAGGGTCATAGATGGGGAAGAGAGGGAGCCCAGGGCAGCTGGAACTCAGATGTTCACCTAAGGAACATGGGGAAAGGTGGGGACATTATTAAAAGATGGCAAAGGTGCAGGACACTGATTAGATGAAGAAAGTTGTTCATAAGCTGCTTGTTTGTGGAGTAAAAGTTGCAGCTTATTTCAGAACTGACAGTGAACTGCTGAGCATTTCTGAGGCAGCTGGATAAGGTGGACACCAGGTTCCTGGGTCCTCCTCCCAGCCCTACTGCCACCGGCCCCGGGCACACAACCTCTCCTTATCCCTTGGTCCCCAACAGAAGCCGGCAGTGTCAGGCAGGTGCCCGCGGGGACTGTCACAGCTCAGACGGGGCGCTCACCAGACAAACAGGCGTGAGCAGAAGTTCGCTTTCTGCAGTGGGTTGGTCTTCACCTCCGGGGACACAGGCAGCATCTTGCCGGCCAAGGTGGACACAGACCGGGGTCGCCCTGCTTAGGTGGTGGTGGAACTCCTGCTGCTCCTGGAGGCGCCGGCGTGGATGCTGGAGACTGGCCGCCCCGCAGGTCCACTGGGCGGGAGCCTGAGAACACCTGCTTCTGAGAGTACAGCACCCTTTGTGCTCCAGGTCCCGCCTCCGAGGACTGAGCAGCCTCCAGAGTCTACCTTTGAGGCACCCGCTCTGTGCAGGTGCTGCCACAGGCATAGGATGGATGCAGCGTGCCGCGTGTGGGGCTGCAGGACCAAGAGACACCCAGGTAGATGCTTTCAGAAGCCCCACGCAGGTGGGAGGCAAAGCTACCAGCACTTTGATAAAGGCAGGCAGGCTGACTGTGGGGCACAACCAGCCCAGCTCCCAGGAGCACAACTGGCTGCAAACTCTGAGGAAGTTCCTGCTCTTCCAGGCAGTCACCCAGGAGGTGGCGAAGGGAGGCTCATCCTGCCCATCTCTGCTGCTCAGAGGCTCCCCCATGGGCTGCAGAGGAAACCAGAAGAAAGCTGGCAGGAGATAGCAGCCCACTCTCTGGGCACGCTGCCCTCCTCAGGACCAAACAAGGATGCTGCGGGAAGGTCTCCAACTGGAATGGAGCAGGACCCTGGGGGGCCTTCCTGAGATAGACCCTACTTCCACCCCATGCCCTCTGTCTGTCTCTTGTTTGTAGAAAAGCTTCAGTCTCCCAGGCCTCCTCCTCCAAGTCACAAAAGGCTGGCTCAAGGATGATTGGAAGAATGTGAACATGTAATAACAAAAAACTTTATCAATAGATTAGCTATACAGCAGTCACAGAGTCTTTATAACAGGATCTGATGCACATTCCTGAGTTGTTTTGCAGATGGTAAAAAGTCCACCAGGTGGAAGAAGTTAACAGCATGACGACCAGGATAAACTGGAACCTAAGGATTTATGATGATAACCCCTGTTACATTACCTTGCTCCCCAACATCAATTGGAATACAGTGTGAGCTAATCAAGTACCCTGGACTCTCCCTCACTTTGCCTTTAAAATCCTCCTCCACTGGGGAGTTCCAGCCTTCTAAGCATGAGCATCCTGTACTCCTTGCTTAACTCTTGGAAACAAGCCTTTCTCTGCTCAGAACTCCAACTTTTCAGTTTGTTTTACCTCAATGTACATTGGGCACAAGACCCTGGTTTGGACAATACAAACCAGGCACCAAACATTTGACAATGGCCAACAACAGGATTTAGCATAGATTATGGTTATAAAGCTGCAGGACTTAGAAAAATGCAACAGAAGATTAGAAAACTTCAAATGATTTCAAAAGATGAATTCATGCTGTCATTAGAGATGTCCACAATGGGAGATGTCTTGCATCTCACAGGTTACATTGTGGGGGGAATCCTGGGAGCTTTTTGCTGCCCTCCTACATGGGGAATTTGGGACAGAGAGATTGACTTATGAATTCTTTCATCATGAGCTCAGGGCCTGCCTAGCAGAGTAACAGTAGCATATGTTACAGAATACAGGTTATGTGCATTTGTGGGGAACTTACTTCACTTTACCCAAATAATGCCCTATTCAAGGAGGTGTTATCTCTATTTTACAGATGAGGAAAATGAGGCTCAAAGACAGCACTTCTCCAGGGTCTTCCAATCAGTAAATGATGAATCTTGATTTGTATTCAAGTCCAAGTCCAGCATGACTGTCTCACTGGTGGATGGTTAGTGTGTGAAAATTGCCAAGAAAATGCCATCTGAATGAATCAATGACTGTAGGACTGAGAACAAAATCTTGGGCCCTCACTCATAAGTGATAAGTTATATGTGTGGCCATCTTACCAGCTCAGCAGCTTTTCTTCCCTTTCATTCTAAATGAAGAAATTTCAAAGTTTGTGGGGCTTATAACAAGATCACCTTATTATTCTTTGATAATTTCCCATGTACCTTGGCTAAAATGGTGTTATTAATAATGACTTTTAGCTTCAGTTATGCAAGATGAACATGTCCTGCAGAGCTGGGGTATGGCAATGTGGCTACAGTTGACAATGCTGTACTGTGTCCTTTTCATTTGCTCAGAGAGTAGAGCTTGGGAGTTCTCAATGTAAAAGAGAAAAAAATCTAAATGACTAAGATGTGAAGTGATAGATACATTGATTGGCTTGGTATGATGCGCATTTCACAGTGAATATGTATGTCAAGTCATCAAGTTGTACATCTAAATATATACAATTTTTGATTGTCAATTAGACCTCAATAAACTTAAAGGAGAAATCAATTTTAAAGAAATCCTTAATGTATTCAAATGCTTTTTATAACTCAAAAATGTAACAATGGCAATGTGTTGATTATTTTCTATTGATGGGCATGATGGTGGTTTATTATACTACTTTCTTGATATTTTGAGCATGTTTGAAATTTTCTATTGTAAAAAGGAAGACAGAGCTGAAAATTGTCAGTTTTCAATTACCCATCTTTCTGGTGTTAACTCTTTCTCAGATAACGCAATCTACAATCTAAATAATCACGCCTCACCTAATTTCCAGTTTTCTGTGAAATTCTCTACGTTTTCCATCCCTATAAATGTTCAGCTACTAGTTCTACTTCGAAGATGAAGAAATTGCTTGCTGAAGTTGGAAGTCTGGTGACTTCCCTTTTCCCAGTTCCCCAGACTCTTCTCTCCAGTTCCAACTACCTCAGGACCATAGTTATCATCTCCAAACTGTCAAATACACTCACTCCCTTCAGCTTCTGCTGTATTTTTTTAAACTAAGAGTTTTTTGAAACTTCTTAGAATTCTTTCCTGAACATAAACTAATATGATGTTTAGAAGAAATGTTGAAATCCAGTGTTAAATTGTTCAGAGAGGAGTGGCTCTAGAGCCAGGGAACCAGATACTTCACTCATCCTACTTCCTACAGGGTTTCTGTGAGCCTCAGAATTTGTGAAAACATTTTCTAAAAACTAAAACCTAAAACAAAATACAAATAAAATTTTGTTTTGAACAGAGGTTCAGTGAATGCCTTTCAGGTACAGGACCACTAGGCCAGACACAGAGCTTACAAACATGGGGGAGATGTCATAAGACCTCTATTTGCACTTGTTTACTGATCTGAAATGGCTCAATACTACGACTAAGGGAGCAATAACAAGTGGGGGAGAGGATGCAAAGAAACTGGAGTCCTCATATATTGCTGGTGGGAATGTAACATGGTACAACCACAAAGTTACCACATAACCCAGCAATTCTTCTCATAGTTATCTATCCAAGATAAATGAAAACATATGTCCACTTGAAAACTTAGTTACAAATGTTATAATACCACTGTTCATACAAAGGTAAAGGTGTTGGGGTAGGAGGAAGCAAGTGTACACCACCTTATGAATGGGTAAATGAAATCTGGAATTATATGCAATAGGATATTATTTGTCAAGATAGATACACTAATGTATGCCACAAAGCAGGTGAACATTGAATATATTATGCCGAGTTAATGAAGACAGCCATTGACTCTAGTGAGGAGGACAAAACAATATCTTAGGAGAAATTCAATCTTGTTGGACTTGATGATTCATTCCCAAACAAATCTCAGGGATACATGGTGGAAATCTGTGTCTATGCAAACTATAAATTATTATATGGTCTACAGAAGGGGTGCTCAACCACTGGTCTGTGGCCTGTTAGGAACCAGGCCACATAGCAGGAGGTGAGTGATGGGCAAGGAAGTGAAGCTTGATTAGTATTTATAGCCACTCTACTCATCACTCGTATTATCACCTGAGCTCCACCTCCTGTCAGACCAGCAGCAGCATCAGATTCTCACAGAAGCACAAACCTTATTGTGAACTGCCTACGTGAGGGATCTAGGTTACACACTCTTTATGAGAATCCAATGCCTGATGATCTGAGGTGGAGCTGAAGGGATGATGCTAGCACTGGGGAGCACCTGCAAACACACATTATCATGAGCAGAGAGGTTGAAGGCACACATACCATAATAAGGCAATTGCTTGCAGACTCAGATCAAAACCCCTTCAGTGAGTAGCAAGTGACAAGCTGCATCTGCTGGCAGGCTCTACAGGAGCACATGAGTCGATGTACTTCAATTGCACAGCTGCATCTCGTGATGGGCTTTAAGTCACAATCAACACTAATGTTAATGTGCACAAGGCCTGCCCATTATTTTATTTACCACTTCCATCAGTGGTTCTTCTTGCACTGCACACTTGTCTCCATCACAGTTTTGGTAAGCCCACAGCTAGCTTTATCAAAATGAGTAAAAAACAAACATAGCTGGAGAGCTTCCTTGATAATGGGGAGAGACCCAGTGATGAGACAGCGAAAGACCCTAAGGCTGCCAACAAATATAAACTTCATTTAAGATAAAAATATCAAGAGTTCTACTTCAATTATGGGTTCATTGCAACACATATATGTGGCAACCAGCTATCCAACAAACTAAAGAGGCCACATTCAATGCCAAACTGGATCTATGGGGGTGACAAGTAAACACTGAGATTTTTGACATGTTTCAGATATTAGCAGAGATTTTGAAAGAGAATGAGCCAGGGACTTCTTTCTCCCAGCTGGTGTGTGATCACCTATCTCAGCTTTCTAATGAGTTTGAGCATTACATCGCAACAGCAAAAGACTCTTAAATTGGGAAGGAATGGATCTGCGACCCATCTGTGAATAAGCCAGGTGAATAGACTTTGTTCATGCTAGAAAGAGGATCAGCTTCTTGAGACTGTAAATGATGATGACCTAAAAAGTATGTTTGAGACAACTTCAAATTTATATACGTTCTAGATTAAATTCAAGGAAAATGTCCTGCCACAAGGATATTCTCTGTGGCAGACTGCCACAAAGTACTGAAAAGCCTGCTTCCATTTCCAACAACGTAAAGCAGGGTTTTCTGCAGTGACAACCACCAAAACAAAATCACAAATTAGCCTGGACATAAGCAACACACTTCGGGTGTCACTCTCTCCCATCACCCCTGGATGAGACCATCTAGTTGTAGAAAAACAAGCTCAGGGCCCCTGACTCTGCAGTATCGTGAGTTGTATAATTATTTCATTATATATCACAATGTAACAATAACAGAAATAAAGTGCACAATAAATAATGTGATTGAATCATCTTGAAATCATCCCTCCCTCCCTGGTCTGTGGAAAAATTGTCTTCCATGAAACTGGTCCCTGGTTCCAAAAAGATTGAAGATGACTGGTCTACAGGATCTCTAATAGTCAAAGCTTTAAGGGCTAAAGCTGCAGCAGTTATAAGAGCAGTACTAAAATTGTTCAGCTGAGATAATGCTGGTCCTCAAGCATTTTCAAACAAGACATATAGGAAAATGGGATTCATAATTTAAACATAATCCTATGGGTATCCATAGTTCTGAATATAGTGACAATTTCTCTATAACTCCTCCTAGTAATAGATCCACCTCTATAAACTCAAGAGCAGGCACCCAACTGAAATCTAGCCAATCGTCAAATGCCATATCCATGTGCAAAGGGCTGGGCCCAGAAATAACCTCATGGCTAACCAGATCAACTGGATTTCTTCCTTGAGAATGTTGAGCGGTGGTTGGGGGGGGTGTGAAGGAGGTGGGGGTGATTTTTGTTTTGTTTTTTGCTGAAGCTAGAAAGGGAAAACCTCTCTTCCCTTTCTGATGAGGGAGTTTTAAGGACATGACCCATGATTGGTAACCATGTGCCCCATTTACATGGAGAGCCTGAAAGAATAAAGCAGGCACTCAGGAAAAATCATACAGTAACTATTTATTAAACACCTACTATTCCAGGAGCTAGGGATACATAAGTGAACAGGAAGAGGGGTATAAAGCAGAGTCTTAGTGACATCAAGTCCCTAGGGCTCCTGAGGCTAACAGGATCCCTCCTTGGACAGTGTAACCTGCTGGAGCAGAAGCTGTCACTTTCCAGCTCATGTCCACTGACTCTTGTCCAGGACTAAGGAGCTCACTGCTTATCTGCAACTCTCCACTTAGGGTCTCTTTCTAGCTATGGAAGCACACTGGGACCATATGCAAAGCAAGCCAAAAACCTTGGATTCAACCCTTAACCAGTGGTGGATGGGGAGTGGGTAGATAACCAATGCCCTTGCCTGTAAGTTGGAATAATTCTGTCTACCAGGGTGACCCCAAAGGAAGGAGCCCAGTTACAAAAGCAGTAACTTTCTTGCTGACACACATTTTACTGGTTTCCTTCCCTTGTTTATCTCATTTCTCCACTCCCTACATGTGTCTTACTAGGATCACTTCTAAAATAAACAAATGTTTGCCTCAAAGTCTATGACTGGGGAACCCAAACTATGAAACCTATGAGGAACATCATTCCAAGTATTGAAAACTATATTCACTTCCTCCTTGAACCCATGAAAACCCTTTTTAATATTACAAACCTTGAGTTTATGATATTAATGCTGTAGCACTATTCACATGACAATTTTGAGGTCTTGAAATGCATCTGATCCAAATTGAGGTATGCTTTAACTGTACAATACAACATGGATTTCAAACACAGCACAAAACTCTTTTTTGTCTCAATGATTTTTTACATTTCAGTATTCTTGCCTGGGAAATCCCATGGACAGAGAGGCCTGGCAGGTTACAGTCCATACAGTCACAAAAGAGGATGACTGAGTGACTAAACAACAACATTAAGATATTATAATAATACTGGGAGCTTCAGTTATTTTGTTTTCAGCCCTTTGGAAAACTAGTCCATTACTGAGATAAGTTGTCCAGAAACTGCTTAGAGTTGATAAGGGTGTCCTTAGAAAATAATATACCTAAAAAGATGAAAACCCTGCTTTCATTAGGCTCACAATCTAGAAAAGAAAAAGGTAAAAAGAAAATTGCAACAAAATAATACAAATAATATAAACATACAAGTATATTCATTCTCACCTATTAAATTAGCAATACTCTTTAAAAACCAGAATATGCCATGGTAATGAAAAGTGTGATAGGAACTGTAATCTACTATTGGTAAACTATAAGTTAGAAAAGTCTTTTCAGGACATAATCTGACAATATCTATTAAGAGCCTTAAAAAGGTTCATTTTCTTTGACTCAATAGGATTTTTACTTACAAGATGATGAAGGGAAAAAGTCATTTATAGAAAACTATTTATGCACAATTTTACTTATATACAAATGTTTCTCAGAGCAGTGGTTATTATTAAATTGTAATAGGATTTAGAAATATCCTAACTTCTAAGTTTAGCAATAGCAACATGATTGAACAAATTATGAATTATTTTTAAACAAGTGCTTTTGGACATCTACCATACATCTACCTTTCAAAGCACTGGGAATCAACGGCCTACAAGATATGTAAGGTTTACCTTGTCATGGTGTTTACACTGAAGTAGTGGGAGACAGATGGCAAAAAGGTAAATGTATGAACAAGATACTCTCGGGTTTGATGAGGAATATGAAGAACAGGAAGTGAGAGTGGCTGGAGATGGCTGGCAAGCCCTGATTTAAATTGGGTGGTCAAGAAGGCTGCTCAGAGGAGAAACTTAGCCAGGACCAGGGAGTCAGTCTTCTGCAAACCTGGGAGCCAAAAAAAAAAAAAAAGATTAAAAAATCCATGGTATTGGATAAAATAACTTAGGTGAGTGTAGATTAAAGAAAAAAGAAAAGAAAAAGGAAAGGGAGACCCGCTCTTGCATCTGTCAGAGGAGGCAAACTGCCACCCCAGAGACTGGGGAGGCCCACAGGTGAACAGAGGAAGTTGAGGCTTCCTCAGGGTGAAACCACCATGGGAACCTGCACTTGGGGAGGAAACCAGAACCATAACTGACAAACTGCTGGAGGCTCAGTGTGAACAATCTGAGAGTAAAAACTCCAGGGGGACCCAGTCATGGGGGGACTCACAATATTGTGAGCTTTACCTCCAGGAGCTTCACCAGGATCCTACAGGAAATGCCAGGGAAAGTCCCCCCAGCCTTCCTGATGGTGATGGGGGGATGGGGAGTGGCCAATTTGAAATAGACCAGAAAACTCAGTCCTCTTAAGAAGGCCTTCCCTAGAGGAAAACTAGTACTAGAGTCTAACCCTCCAGGGTATTAACTGAGCCCAACTGACCTGGGGGAAGGGAAATACCCAACTCCAGCAGGCTCGAGCCATTCTGTCCCACATAAGGGAAGGGGTTGGGGAGAGAAAAATGAGAAACACTTGTGAGGCTCACAGTCCAAAGGCAGAGGCTCACTGAGGGGCTGAGACCTAATCATGGGATCTGCCTGCCCTCACACCTCACCTCCTCATCACTAAAGCCCTCTTATAGCAGTGCCTTTAATCCAGGATATTGTGTCTACGTTTCAAGAAGTTACAAAGGCATACCAAAAGGCTAAAAAAAGGAAAAAAATATTTTTGAAGAGACAAAGCATGCATCAGAACTAGACATGGCAGTGATTTTGGAATTATCAGACCAGGAATTTAAAAGCAACTATGGCTTCCCGAGTGGCTCAGTGGTAAAGAACCTGCCTCCCAATGCAGGAGACCTGGGTTTGATCCCTGAGTCAGGAAGATCCCCTGGAGAAGAAAATGGCAACCCACTCCTGTATTCTTCCCTGGGAAATCATACAGACAGAGGAGCCTGGCAGGCTACAGTCCATGGGGTCACAAAAGAGCCGAACACTATGGAGAGACTAAACAACAATGACAATAACATGATTAATATGCCAAGGGCTCTAATAGATAAAGTATACAGCATATAAAAACAGATGGGCGATAGAAGCAGAAAGATGGAGATTCTAAGAAAGAACCAAGAGGAAATGCTAGAGATAAAAAGCAGTGTAACAGAAATGAGGGGGGGGGAACCCTACAATTAGGCTTATTATTTTCAAATTAAAGAAAAATATTTTGGCTATAGAGAAATAAAGATAAGAATTATATCCAATTCTCCTCAGAAACCAAGCAAACATGGAGTAGAGTGAAAAAGTTTTAAGTGTTGAGAGAAAAAAACACCAACTTAGAATTCTGTAATTTGTGAATGATTGTTCAAAAGTGAAGCAAAAATGAATACTTCTTCAGACAAAGAAAAATTGGGAAAGGAGTACAACAAGGCTGTATATTGTAATCCTATTTAACTTATATGTGGACTACATCATGCAAAATGCCAGACTGGATAAAGCACAAACTGGAATCAAGAAATATCAATAACCTCAGATGTGCAGTTGAAGCCTGGTGTGCTGCAGTCCACGGGGTTGCAAAGAGCTGGAAATGACTGAGCAACTGAACTGAACTAAACTGAACTGATACAGATGACACCACTCTAGTGGCATAAAGCAAAGAGGAACTAAAGAGCTAAGATCATGGTATCTGGTCCCATCACTTCATGGCAAATAGATGGGGGAAAAGTGCAAGCAGTGACAGATTTTATTTTCTTGGGCTCCAAAATCACTGCGGATGGTGACTGCAGCCATAACATTAAAAGACACTTGCTCTTTGGAAGGAAAGCTATGACAAACCTAATAAAATCTAAAGGGAAGATGTAGAAATTCTGGAGATGGATTCACAACAATGTGAATATAATTAATGCCACAAAGCAGTGCATTTAAGAAATAGTTTTATAAGTTTGTTTTACATTACGTATACTGTGTAGAGGAGAGGAAAATTCCTCTTTCTTTTACACTTCTAGGTTCTCTGAATAGAGCCTTGGAAATTCAAATGATGTAAGACAGATGAACAAGAGAAATACAGTTTATTAACCTGTGCAGCATGCACACTTCTGGAAAGATCTTCTATCATTTACAGTTTGCTATTGGTATACTCAGACAGTTTTGCAAAAGTGCTTCATCTTCAAGAAGAATCATAGAAAGTACTTTTGATAAATACAGGTTTCTGATAAATTTCAGACCGTGCTGGTCAACTTTGCAAGAAATTTTATAAATCTAGCAGAAAACCTGATGACTTCATAAAACTATTAACAAAAAGGATTAGTTGCTGAATGAACTGGTGAATATGGTTATGATTTTTATAGTTTTTGTCTAAAATATTACCAGTTTAAGTTTGCTTTTTCCAGATATAATGAAACCCTTCCCTTCAAGATAATTATGACTTACAACAATTTGGAAAATTAGACCTTTGTAAGTAGAACTAAAACATGTCTTTGCTTTCTACCTGATCCCTCCAAAAGTTGGAAACTCAGGTTCCCAGCAGATGTATCATATAAATAAGGAAGGCCACCTCCTAACAGGGACAACTCTTCCACTTCCAGTTGATAATTGTATTCCCTGAACAAAGTTTCTCATCTGTAAAGTGGGTACTGAAAAGTAGTATCAATTTCATGGAGTTATTGTTGATGTCAAACTGCTTACTGCAGTTCTTAAAGAGATGTACAATAAGTGGAAACTATTGCGGCAAGATATTTTACCAGAATATTAAACTGACTGTCCCTTGCTATGGTGTGAATGTTTGTGCAAAAGGAATGAAAATGGAATTCTTGAGGTTATAGCTTAAAGGGTACTGGTGCTGGTATAAGGAACACAATTGGCAAGAAACCAGCCAACCAAGATTTCCTCCACAGAAGAGAGATCAAAACCCAAGTCAGAGGCGAGCAAAGGTCTGGGAATGAGAGGCAGAGGGCTGAAAAGCCCTGTCCCCAGTGATCACTATCCCCAAAGTAGGGGGGATACAGGATATGATAGAAACCCCTTCATGTATGGCTCGTGCCTTACCTCCTGCTAGAAACCAGCAGAGTTATCAGCTTTGTAGAGACTCCCATGCCATAAACCTGTGTTATGAGTGAAGTAGAAAACCCTGATTTCCCACTTGGGGTCTGGAAAATTCAGAAAGCGGGAGGCAGCAGGATTATGGAATCTGGAGCCAGGATGAGAGAATGCCATAGAGGGAGATGAAGCATGCACCGTCCAGCTGGGGAGCAGATGAGAACCAGTTACATCCTTCCTTTAAAATCCCATGAAGGGAAGTGAAATGAAAGTCACTCAGTTGTGTCCAACTCTTTGTGACCCCATGGACTATACAGACCATGGAACTCTCTAGGCCAGAATATTGGATTTTCCAGGGGATCTTCCCAACCCAGGGATTGAACCAAGGTCTCCTGCATTGCAGACGGATCTTTACCAGCTGAGCCACCAGGGAAGGCCAAGAATACTGGAGCAGGTAGCCTATCCCTTTCTCCAGCAGATCTTCCCAACCTAGGAATCAAACCGGGGTTCTCCTGCATTGCAGGCGGATTCTTTACCAACTGAGCTATCAGGGAAGCCCTAAAATCCCATAGCGAAGTAGATTTTAAAAACAAAACAAATTAAAAAAACAAAATCTGCTGGGAAAGCAGAAACCAGACTGTGCTAGAGTTTAAGAGACACTAGGACAATAAATAAGAATTCTTCTTAAATATAGGTCAGCTACTTTATAATCAGGTTAGATCTATAATCTCTAGCCTTTATCCTCCAGGTTACAAGTGGTGCAGGAAAAAAAACATATCATCCTGGGAGCCGTGAGACCAGCTGTCCAATGAGGGTCCTTGACTTCTGCAGGAAAGAATACAAGAGTGAGCTGAAGAAGAGTGAAAATGGACTGATTCAGGGAGACACACACTCCACAGACAGAATGTGGACTTTCTCGGAAGGCAAGAGTGCCCCCAAAGTATGGGGTTGTGAGTTTTTATGGATTGGGGGATTTCATAGCATAGCAAGTGGGAGGAATATTCTTGATATTCTGAGGAAGGGACCGGGACTATAAGGAACTAGGTCACTGTACATTTTTTGGCCTTTTATGGTCAGCCTTGGAACTATCACAGTGCCTGTCATGGTGTGAGGGGAATGATTTTTAAGGTTCTAATGAAGGTGTAATGAGAGAGGTCAGTGACCAGATCATACTCAACACCATCTTGATTGTAGCTAGTTCAAGCCAGTTTTTGTGGGATCCTGTTTTTCTTAATATCTGTGCTCCTGTCCTCATTCTGTTAACCATTGTGCCCCCTCCTTCCTGTCTCACAAGCATAGACACAGTTTCCACAGTGATGAGGCCATCTTAGCCCCTTACCCAAGAGCCCAGACCTAGTTCTCTTGCACCCTGATGCCTAGGCCCTTCCCTTTCCTATTTAAACAATACCCAGTTGTCTTCCTCAATGAAGGGCCCCAAGGATTTCCTCTAATTTCAGGAGCAACATCAAACCTCCGCCAAGAGGGAGTTACTTTGTGGGTAAAAAAAAAAACAACAACAAAACAAACAAAATTGATTATTTCTTTGGGCTTAGGGAAGAAACTGGTCTCTTTCCCTTCATTGGATTATCACCACAGGTAACAAAGGAAACGGTCCTTAAAGGCAAGGTGGTGCCGTAATAGTCCAGGAGGCCAGGTGCTGATGAAGCAGTCACTAGCAAAGCCCACCAACAATTTCCTGGAGTAAAAGTAGAAGCTGGGGCTTCCCAGGTGACTCACTGGTAAAGCACCCTCCTACTAATGCCGGAGGCACAGGAGATGCGGGTTTGACGCCTGGTTGGGAAGATGCCCTGGAGAAAGAAATGGCAACCCACTCCTGTGCTCTTGCCCAGGAAATCCCATGGACGGAGGAGCATGGTGGGCTTCAGTTTACGGGGCCACAAGAGAGTTGGACACGACTGAGCAACTAAACAACAGAAAGTAGAATCTGGGTCATAAAATGAAAATCAAACCTTTTCTCTTTCCCTTTGTGCTGAGTTGACTTTCAGTTTCTCACAGGTCACCTCCTGCAGAGGCCTCACATCCCTGGCCCTTCAGAGAAGACTCCCTGGGGAGAAATGGCTCCAATGACACCTCAGCTCTGAGGGCCGTGTGCAGAGACGCTGCTCCCGGGGCCGTGATTCAAGATGGCGGCCAGGGGGCCGTGGGCGGAGACGATGCACCTGGCACTGGATCTGGGCGCGTAGCTACACAGCTGAGCCCGGACTCGCGAGAGCCCCGCCCCTCTCCACTCACATGAACAACAAGCACCAGCCCCGTGAAGGGCTTTTAGGGGAGAGCGTGTGCTCCACAGCAAGCTCTATTAGAACAAGCCACACCTGGCCAAGGAGGCTTGTTGGGGTCTGACGTGGGAGGGTGGGTAACAGAACAGGAAGAAATCCAACCCCCTTCTGCTCAATATGAGTGTGATTCTCCTGCTGCTGCTAAGTCGCTTCAGTCATGTCCGACTCTGTGCGACCGCATAGATGGCAGCCCACCAGGCTCCCTGGTCCCTGGGATTCTCCAGGCAAGAACACTGGAGTGGGATGCGAATTTTTTCCCCAATGCAGGAAAGCGAAAAGTGACAGTGAAGTTGCTCAGTCGTGTCTGAAGTGACCCCGTGGACTGCAGCCTACCAGGCTCCTCTGTCCATGGGATTTTCCAGGCAAGAGTATTGGAGTGGGTTGCCATTGCCTTCTCCATGTGATTCTCCTAGAGACCTAGATAAGGGAGAAGCAGCAGACTAGTTAAGAAAATCATTACTTAATACCATTGTAGTTTCTATCATTCCCTTTAAAAGTGATGTTTACTCTTGGAAACCTGCCCCTCCCTTTCTGATAGAAACCAGGTGAGGCTTACATACCTTCCTGTTCTATCAGGTCAAAGATTTAAAGAAGCAGACTCTCGGGACCCTCTTAGAGTGGGATTCTCGAGAGAAATCCATTGTCTCCGTGACCCAGGCTCACACTAGACCCAGAAACCAAGAGCATCTTCTCTTTCAGATGCCCCCACCCTTCCTGACCTGAGCCCCAAGAAACGCCCCATCATGCTAAACTGAGGATTTTAAACTCGAGATTTGCCAGCTGGCCAGGGAATGGAGCCTGACTCAAGTAATGTGACCTTCATGGGGATGGGGTTTTCCCATGAGAATGGGTCTCCTGAAGGAGGCAGGTAGAGATTCATGTGAGCAGAGTGGAACGGAGCCCTCAGTAAAAGACCAGGTTCTAGCGGGACAGTGTTGCCCTGGGGAGTTCCCCCAAAAGAAAGAAAGTGTAGTCGCTCAGTTGTTTCCAACTCTCTGTGACCCCATAAAAAAAAAAACAACAACAAAACAAACAAAATTGATTATTTCTTTGGGCTTAGGGAAGAAACTGGTCTCTTTCCCTTCATTGGATTATCACCACAGGTAACAAAGGAAACGGTCCTTAAAGGCAAGGTGGTGCCGTAATAGTCCAGGAGGCCAGGTGCTGATGAAGCAGTCACTAGCAAAGCCAACCAACAATTTCCTGGAGTAAAAGTAGAAGCTGGGGCTTCCCAGGTGACTCACTGGTAAAGCACCCACCTACTAATGCCGGAGGCACAGGAGATGCGGGTTTGACGCCTGGTTGGGAAGACGCCCTGGAGAAAGAAATGGCAACCCACTCCAGTGCTCTTGCCCAGGAAATCCCATGGACGGAGGAGCACGGTGGGCTTCAGTTTACGGGGCCACAAGAGAGTTGGACACGACTGAGCAACTAAACAACAGAAAGTAGAATCTGGGTCATAAAATGAAAATCAAACCTTTTCTCTTTCCCTTTGTGCTGAGTTGACTTTCAGTTTCTCACAGGTCACCTCCTGCAGAGGCCTCACATCCCTGGCCCTTCAGAGAAGACTCCCTGGGGAGAAATGGCTCCAATGACACCTCAGCTCTGAGGGCCGTGTGCAGAGACGCTGCTCCCGGGGCCGTGATTCAAGATGGCGGCCAGGGGGCCGTGGGCGGAGACGATGCACCTGGCACTGGATCTGGGCGCGTAGCTACACAGCTGAGCCCGGACTCGCGAGAGCCCCGCCCCTCTCCACTCACATGAACAACAAGCACCAGCCCCGTGAAGGGCTTTTAGGGGAGAGCGTGTGCTCCACAGCAAGCTCTATTAGAACAAGCCACACCTGGCCAAGGAGGCTTGTTGGGGTCTGACGTGGGAGGGTGGGTAACAGAACAGGAAGAAATCCAACCCCCTTCTGTTCAATATGAGTGTGATTCTCCTGCTGCTGCTAAGTCGCTTCAGTCATGTCCGACTCTGTGCGACCGCATAGATGGCAGCCCACCAGGCTCCCTGGTCCCTGGGATTCTCCAGGCAAGAACACTGGAGTGGGATGCGAATTTTTTCTGCAATGCAGGAAAGCGAAAAGTGACAGTGAAGTTGCTCAGTCGTGTCTGAAGTGACCCCGTGGACTGCAGCCTACCAGGCTCCTCTGTCCATGGGATTTTCCAGGCAAGAGTATTGGAGTGGGTTGCCATTGCCTTCTCCATGTGATTCTCCTAGAGACCTAGATAAGGGAGAAGCAGCAGACTAGTTAAGAAAATCATTACTTAATACCATTGTAGTTTCTATCATTCCCTTTAAAAGTGATGTTTACTCTTGGAAACCTGCCCCTCCCTTTCTGATAGAAACCAGGTGAGGCTTACATACCTTCCTGTTCTATCAGGTCAAAGATTTAAAGAAGCAGACTCTCGGGACCCTCTTAGAGTGGGATTCTCGAGAGAAATCCATTGTCTCCGTGACCCAGGCTCACACTAGACCCAGAAACCAAGAGCATCTTCTCTTTCAGATGCCCCCACCCTTCCTGACCTGAGCCCCAAGAAACGCCCCATCATGCTAAACTGAGGATTTTAAACTCGAGATTTGCCAGCTGGCCAGGGAATGGAGCCTGACTCAAGTAATGTGACCTTCATGGGGATGGGGTTTTCCCATGAGAATGGGTCTCCTGAAGGAGGCAGGTAGAGATTCATGTGAGCAGAGTGGAACGGAGCCCTCAGTAAAAGACCAGGTTCTAGCGGGACAGTGTTGCCCTGGGGAGTTCCCCCAAAAGAAAGAAAGTGTAGTCGCTCAGTTGTTTCCAACTCTCTGTGACCCCATACACCATAGCCCGCCAGGCTCCTCTGTCTGTGGAAATCTCTAGGCAGGAGTACTGGAGTGGATTGCCATTTCCTTTTCCAGGGGCTCTTCCCAACTTGGGGATTGAACCTGGGTCTTCCACATTGCAGGCAGATTCTTTACTATCTGAGCCACAAGGGAAGCCTAGTCTCAATTCTTTAAGTGATTTCCCCTTTATAATATGGGAAAAGACAAATTGTGAAAAACTTTAGCTATTTCCCTGCTTACTGAAATAGATACTGACCCATTTAAACATATTCTGGTTCTTGAGTTAACTGAGACCATCCCTGCCCAGCGCAGGGCTGCAGTTCCAGGGAGGCTGATGGACAGGAAGGTGAGATGGGAAGGGGAACAGTCTCCCCACATCCACTCACTGACTTACTGGGGAGAGAGCGTCATCCTGTCAAGTGGACCGTGACTCAGAAACTCAGGTCCTGAGAGCAGTCCTGGGAAAGGGACAGAGCAGGAGGTGAGGGGGGAATTCCTCACAGTAGCAGGGAGCTCTCCTTCCTGCAGTCAGGAACAGCAGGGAGAATGAATCTGCTGTCACTACATCAACCTCCTAAGACATCAGTGGCCTAAAGCAGTGGTCACTTATTCATTACTCATACAGTTGTGAGGCTAATGAGGCAGGGTTGTTGCTTGTCTCCTGGGCTCACTCACAGGCCTGCCCACAGCTGGGAGCCCCGCTGGCACTGGGTGGCCAGACAGATCTCACTTCCACTCTGGCCTGAGCTGGGATGGCTGGAGGACCTGGGGTGGCCTGGTTTGTCTCCCCACGTGGCTCTCATCTCAGGCTGCTGACCACTCGGTGGTCAGGGAGGGAGTCTGTGATGGAGTCACCTCCAAGCTGAGGTCTTCTAAAGGATTAGAAGGCAGCAGTGAGCAGGGAAAAGGGGGAGAAGCTGGTGAGAGGGCAGAAATTGACTTATAAGAGAATAGCAAGACCCTGTGAGGGAGGAGGAAGTAAAACAGGAATAAAGTTAACTTTGTTACTGCAAGTAATGTAAGAAAAGAGGGGAGGTGAGTGTCAATTCATGCAAATTCAAGGAGCTCAGGAGTTTTTTGTTTGTTTGTTTTTAATCTTCATGCTAAGAGTGGGAAACCATTGAAAAGTTTTAAGCAATGGGGTGATATGATTTGATGTTCTCTTTAAAGAAACAACATGATTATGCATTTCAGGTTTTACAGGGGGACTAGAGCAGGCTTTCTTAACCTTAGCACTGTTGACATTTGAACCAGACAAGTCTTTTTTGGTGAGAAGACCTGTACATTGCAGGGTGTGTCGCAGCATCCCCAGCCTCTATCCATTGGATGCAGCAGTCACCTCCTCCCTCAGTCGTGACAACCAAAATGTGTCCAGACGTTGTTAGCGAGATATCCTCTGGGAAGCCAGTTCCTAGTTGAGAACCACTGGGCTGGGATGGATGCAGGTTTTCCTCTGATTTCCAGGAGAGAAATACTGGCTTGCGTGGTGGAGGTGGAGCTGAGATGAGCAGATGGCATAGCAGAGACCAGGAGATGAACTCAACAGTACTTGGGTGGACAGACCCATCACGATGATCCAGTTCTCAATCCTCTCTCTGCTTCCCTCCTTCAGCATTCCACCTGCTCTGAAGAAAGAGTCTGGTCTTGTGTTGGGGATACTCATAGTTGGGTGGCCAAACAATAGTATGTGGAATGTAAAGTTCTCTTTCACCCTGTTGTAGTTTGTTGATGCAACACTCATATAGTGTCGAAGTCTGACAAAGGAATTGATTTCTCACTTAGGGTCAAAGTTTGATCAAGGAACTGACTGAAAATCAGCAAGGCAGGGCACAAAACCCCGAAAGTTAAAAAACAACAACAAAAGGGATTTCCCTGGGGGTCCAGTGGTTAATAAGACTATATGCTCCCGATGCAGGAGGTACAGGTTTAATCTTATTTTCCCTGGTTGGGGAACGAAGACCCCCCTGCCACACAGTGTGGCAGGAAAGAAGGCAGGTTAGTCCCAGGATTGTTTGTTTCCTTGTTTTACTTTTGGCTATGCTGGTCTTTCGGTCTTTGGTGCTTTCATGCAGCTTTCTCTAGTTTTGGAGAGCAGGGGCTACACTTCATTGT